CGAGGGGACAGCTTGTCCGCAGACAAGTCGCGGACAAACGCCCGAGATCCCCAGACCCGGAACGCCGACGCATCGCCAACCTTCCCCGTCCACAGCAAGGCTGGGGAGGTCTCCGGCCCGAAGACCCTAGGGTGTAGGTTGATCTGATGCGCCGCGTACCTCACCGCAAACGGCCACAGAAAATGGGGAGCAGCCGCATGCATCATAGACGTACGAGCGACGTCCATGACCATGCCAATGCGGCGCTCAGCAATCCCATTTTGTTGCGGGGAGTCCGGAAGCGTGAAGGTCTGACGGATTCCTCGTGCGCGACAGTAGGCTCTCAGAAGGCCAGAAAAAAACTCTCCGCCTCTGTCCGAGTGTAGACGCAGAACAGGAAAGTCCGAGCCAAAGCTCTGCCTGAGCTGGAGACGAGCTGCGCGGATCCAGTCGATCAGCACCTCAGTGACATCACCCTTGCTGCGCAAGGGGAAGACTGCGGTGTAACGCAAGTAGTCGTCAACAACGAGCAGGAAGTAGCGCTCGTGACCCTGTCCGCGGACGCGGGCTGGGCCCCACACGTCCATGTGAAGCGTCTGCAACGGGGCCTCTGTCGGAGGAAACTGGGAGGAGTGAGGGGCAGCCCGCTGGCGCCCCTCGACACAGGGGACACAGGTAGGGCCAGGGCCCTGAGGAAGGGGAGGGAGGGACCGGGGGAGACCAGAGACAAGAAGACGGGAGGCCATGCCTCTGAGCCGAAGCAGAGAGGGGTGACCAAGGCGGTGGTGCCAGAGGAGAGTCTCGTGAGACAGGAGACGACACGAACAGGGGGCTGACTCAGGACCAGACCTGGACGCTGCAGCAAACACCTGACCCGACGCAGCTACCCTACCAGACGCAGCAACCGGAGGAGACGCAGTGGTCAGTGTGTACAGGCTCGACCCCGGCCGACGGGTAAACGTAGCCAGGTGTCGGCCTGTGCTAGCCTCCGTGCAGTGCGTCACACGCTGATGCGCAGGAGTGAAGTGGTGTACTCCCCCATCCTGTAGGTCAGCACCACTCACGAGGTTCTTAGAGAACGAGGGGAGGTAGAGACCAGACAGGGTGCCAGAGGGAGCCGCCGGACACGGGAGGACAGTGGAGAAGTGAGACAGGACAGGACCCCCAGAGGGGTCAGCAAGAGACACCGCAACAGGCTGACTAAGCGGCGTGAGTGTGGTGCGGTCCCGAAAGAAGGAGCGAGAAGCCCGAGAGTCAAGGGTGAAGGTGAGGGAGGCCGAAGCCGACGCAGTACCTGAGAGCGCAGACTCACCAGGACCTGAGGGCGCAGACGCACTAGCACCTAGAGCAGCAGTGTCGCAAGCACCTAGGGCAGCAGCCTCACCTGTACCTAGAGCAGCAGTCTCAATGCCCGGATCAGGCGGGAAACACCGGTAACAGTCACCCTCATCACTAATAGACACAGCATACATGGCAGAAAGGATAGCATCAAAATCAAGATCATAGATGGCAACTCCCGCCCTAGACAGCTCGCCCCAGCGAGGGATCTCTGTGGCCTCCGGGAACTGGTGACGCCACGCGTCCGTCAGGCGGCCAAAGCAGTGCTGGGTGGGGTGCGCACCCCCACACTGCTCACCCGCACGGTCGCCGGTGCGCAGGACGTAGGTGCACGGACCAAAACCCCCACCCCGCTGGCGTGTAGTGTACCACTCACGGAGCTGCTGAGGGGACAGGGTCTCACGACCTCGCTGCTGCTGCTGGCGCGGACCACCACCGGAGCCACTTCTCTGCGTAGACCCGCGACCAGCTCCACCGCCACCCCCGCCGCCTCCGCCGCCTCCGCTAGTACCGCCGCCTCCGCCGCCTCCTCCACCGCCACCACCTCCGCCACCTCCGCTCCCACCGCCACCGCCGCCGCCGCCTCCGCCTCCACTGCCGCCACCGACACCTCCACCCCCACCACCACTCCCACCACCACCCCCGCTCCCCCCGCCGCCTCCACCTCCACCTCCACCGCCCCCGCTCGCTTCTCCAGCGCCCCTGCCCCCCTTGCCCTTGCCAGAGCGGCGTCTCCCGCTAGGGGCAAACGCCGCACCGACCGACTCAAGACCAAGGAGGTCGACCGCAGCAGCAGAGGCAACGGAGGGCAGAAGGGGGGAGGGGGAACACCCCTCAAAGATGGGGGTGCGCGGGTCACCACGAGAGGCCCCTACAGCGACTATGCTCTTCTCGGCCGCTAGAAGGGACTTCTCGAGGAGGTCAACAGTGAGAGTGGTGGGACAGACTGAGAGGAAGTGGTCCCTGACTACGCGAAGGGATTTAGGGAGGCGAGTGACTAAGTAGTAGAGAGTGATGTACATGGGGGGGGGGGTTCTTGGCCCCGAAGTCAGCAGGAAGCGCAGCGCGGTAGCGAGTGTCACTAGTATAGAGGTGCGTAATGAGGTCAGCGACTGTGGGAAAGGCAGCAAGGTCAGGGAAGAGGTACGGTAGCATGAGGCGGCTCAGTGCAGCAGTGGCAGGGGAGGAGTAGCGCGCAACTACAGCGTGGTACAAGGTCTGAGCACTCTTGTACTGACTAAAGTGCGCGCGCTCAGTGGTAGGAAGGTGGCGACGCACAGCAAGACGTGCAGCAGCATCGCGAGTGGCCCACTGTGAGCGAACGGTGGCGTCGGCATCGGCAGCAGGGGCAGGGGAAGCACCAGAGGTGAGGTCAAAGAGGGAGAGACCGTCTGCCCTATCGCACTGTAGGAAAAGCTGCAGGTCATCTACCCAGACGTCAAAGTCAATGGCCCGACCCTCAGCGTCAAAAGTGAGAACACTGGGGGTAGCCATGACAGCAGTAGACTAGCAGCGCTAACTGTAGAGCAGGGGCAGTGCAATGACAGAGGCGCTGCGCTCACCAGACAGGGCGGTTCGGGCAGCTCGGGCGGCTCGGCAGCAACTGCAGCTCGGCGGCACCCGCGGCTCGGCTCCTCAGCTGTTCAGGCGGCTCGGGCAGCTCGGGCGGCGTAGCGGCGCGGGCGGCTTGGCTGCGTAGGCGTTCGGGCGGGGCCGTAGGTAGGACGGCGGGGCCGGGTCGAAGGTAGGGCGACGGGGCCGGTGCGAAGGTAAGGCGACGGGGCCGGGCCGTAGGTAGGGCGATGGGGCCGGGGCCGGGTCGTAGGTAGGGCGACGGGGCCGGGGCCGGGCCGTAGAGAGGGCGACGGGGCCGGGTCGAAGGTAGGGCGACGGGGCCGGTGCGCAGGTAGGGCGACGGGGCCGGGGCCGGGCCGCAAGTAGGGCGACGGGGTTGGGTCGAAGGTAGGGCGACGGGGCCGGGGCCGGGCCGTAGGTAGGGCGACGGGGCCGGGGCCGGGTCGTAGGTAGGGCGACGGGGCCGGGTCGAAGGTAGGGCAACGGGGCCGGTGCGCAGGTAGGGCGACGGGGCCGGGCCGTAGGTAGGGCGACGGGGCCGGGTCGAAGGTAGGGCGACGGGGCCGGGGCCGGGCCGCAAATAGGGCGACGAGGCCGGGGTCGCAAGGGGGGCGACGGGGCCGGGGTCGCAGGTAGGGCGACGGGGCCGGGGCGCAGGTAGGGCGACGGGGCCGGGGCGTAGGTAGGGCGACGGGGCCGAGGCGCAGGTTGGGCGACGGGGTCGCTAGGGTGACGAATCAGGGGCCGCTAAGGCGGCTCGACGAAGTCAGAGAGGGGAGCGCGACTCGGGCTGAGCGCGCTCCGGGCAGGAAAAAAAAAAAATTCGACTTGGTGGGCCGTAGGCACAGTTCCCACGAGGGAACCTGCTCTATACCATGAGAAGATTGAAACGAGAATGAATGAACTATGAATGAACTGAGTACAAGTACTAACCCTGATTGGGTTATACCCCTTATGGGCTACCCCACTATAGCCTACACAATAAGCACAAGCTATATGTTCTGACATTGCATTTAGCGATGATGTTTGATTTTTTTATTGCGTCTACTGCCAGGGTTCGTGCTGCTTGTAATATTTCGGCGAACTGTTGTGCTCGTGGTACTGGGTTGTCGGGATTCGGGGTCATGGGTACTGTCAGGTCTTGTCCGTAGTTTAGGTAAAATGGTGACTGTTGGGTCGTGGCGGATGGCGAGTTGTTGTACGCGAATTCGATTAGTGGCAGTTGCTGTTCCCACGTGGTCGGGTCGTCACACGTGGCCTTGATGAGCTGTTCCATGGTCTGATTTGTCCGTTCTGTCTGTCCGTCGGTTTTGGGGTGGTATGATGAACTGGACTGCAGTCGCGTGCCGCACTGCTGCCATAGGTTCCGCCAGAAGTTTCTGGTGAATTTCGTATCGCGGTCGCTGATGATCGCGGCTGGTATCCCGTGCAGTCGAACGATGGTGGAGATGAAGAGGCGTGCTGTTTCTTCGGCTGTGATTGATTTTTTTGCAGGCTGCGAAATGTGCCATTTTCGTCACTCGATCTACGACGACCAGGATCGCGTCGTTCCCATTCGCCCCGGCTGGTAACCCCGTGACGAAGTCCATCGTCACCTGCTGCCAAGCACGCTCTGGGGGTGGTATCGGCTGTAACTGTCCCGCCGGACGCTATCGTGATGATTTCATGAGCTGACAAGTGGGACACGATGCCACGCGTCGCTGTACGTCAGTCAAAATGTCGGGCCAGTAATAATACCGCTACAGCTGCTGCCGTGGTTTTTCTACTCCGAAATACCCTGAGGTATGTGAAAGAACAAGGAATGAATGAACTAGCAAGCAGGCGGGTACAAGTAGGAAAACCTAAAAGTGTTGTACCCCGTATTGTCTACCCCACTACAGCCTACACAGACTATAGCATATGAGTTTGACACACCCCCATAGGCAAAGTGGGGGAGAACAAGAGGTCACAAGACCAGTCAAGCAAAGCAAAGCAAGCTCAGGGTGGCTCACAACGTCACCACACAGTCCGAGCACAAGAGCAAGGCCACAAGGCCAGTTCACATGCAAGATCATAGATAAAGGTAAACAAGCAAGTGCAGGTATAGAAAGATCACAGTACAAGCAAGGTCAAGAAGTGAGCAAGTGAGGCCAAGTAGGCACAAGACCTAGCATCGTATAGAAGCGCTGATGATCACAAGGCGGAAGTGCCTTGGTAAAGATATCAGCAGTGTTGGCCTCAGAGGCCACGTAAGCAAGGCGCAGCTGACCACGCTGCTGCTGCTCATGAGCAAGGAAGTAGCGAAGAGCAATAAGCTTCGTTCTGTGCTCCAGTCTGTGCTCCCAACACAAGGCCAGCATGGCCTTGTTGTCTACGTACAGAACTAGAGGAGAACGAGGCGGCTCTCCTAGGTCAGTCAGCAGGTAGGTGAGCCAGCGTAGCTCCTGTGCAGCCATGGCCCCCGCGTAGATCTCAGCCTCACAGCTGGAGCCGAGCACAGAAGACGAGCGGGTAGACTGCCACGAAACAGAGCCGGAGCCAAGGCTGAAGGTGTAACCCTGTGATGACCGCTGCGTAGCCTGGTCGTCAGCCCAAGAAGCGTCTGCGTGACCTGTGAGGACCACTGGACGTCGCCCTCCAAGCACTAGCCCCATGCCCGACGTACTGCACAAGTAGCGCAACACCCTCTTCGCTGCTGCCATGTGCTCTGGTCGGTGTCTCCCAGGAACAACATAGCGTGCCAAAATGCTAAGAGGGTATGCTAGGTCAGGTCGTGTGCAGGTCATCAGGTACATGAGGCAGCCAACAAGCTCTGGGTACGGGCCACTCGACTCTACGGACACATCCGAAGGCAGAGCTGAGAGCGAGTTGCGAGTAGACAGAGGAGTGGCCAGAGGCGAGGAGTACGTGAAGTCGAAGCGCTGAAGGACCTGCTGCACCATGTGTGACTGAGTCAGGGTAATGGTGCGCTGTGCTCTGTCTCGGGTGATCTGCAAGCCAAGGTAGCTGCGCAGTTCACCCATGTCTATGCACGTGTGTCTCTTCTGAAGCTCGGACTTCACGTGGGCGAGTCCAGCAGTGTCAGCAGTGGCAAAGACCAAGTCGTCGACGTACACGAGGATGTAGAACGGTGGCAAAGAAGTGTCGGTGCGCAGAAACAGCGACGGGTCGGCAGTAGAGGGAGAAAACCCAAGAGCCGCAAGTGTAGTCCTCAGTGTGTCGTGCCACTCACAGGGCGCCTGGCGGAGACCGTAGACTGGCCGCCGGAGGCTCCACTGGGTGCCAGGAGGAAACGACCCAGTGAAGCCAGGTGGGCCGCGCAGCCAGATCTCCTCGTGCAGGCTGCCCTGCAGGAAAGCTGTGCTGAAGTCAAGAGAATGAAGCTCGTAGTCGCGCTGAGCGGCTATGAGCAGCAGAACCCAAAGAGAGGTCATCTTCGGGGTGGGAGAGAAGGTCTGAAAGTAGTCAACTCCCTGCCGCTGACTGAAGCCTCGAGCCACGTAACGCGCCTTGAAGACAGGCGGAGAACCCGGCGGCCGCTTCACCCTGAAAATCCACATGCCACTGACGATGTTCGCCCCAGGTGGGGGAACCTCGTCGACGTAGGTGCCTGTGGACTTCTAGGAAGCCATCTCTGCGTCCATGGCTGACTGCCACTGTGAGGAGTAGGGACCCTCGATCGCCTCAGCGTACGATCGAGGAGTCGGGATGTCTGGTGCATCCGGGTCTCCCTCAGGGGCAATCAGCGTGGACACGAGATGAGGCAAAGCAGCAGCAAAACACTGGAACTCCTCGTGCCTGTCCTCAAGGACGTCCGTGCTAAGAGCACACTCACCCCCGACGGACGGAGGACAGACAGACTCAGACTCAGCAACGAGACTAGCGGCGTAGTCTAGACGACAGGGAGCAGCAAAGTCGACAAGCTCAGCAACTAAGGCAGACACAGCAGTGGACTCAAAGGAAGGGTCAGTGACAACAGTGGCCAGGAGACGCGTGACAGTAGGACTGGCAGCATGAAGAGAGTCAGACTCCGGGTCAGCAAGAGCAGGAAGAGAGGACTCTGGAGGAGACGGCAACTGGACACGCAGAGGAGTAGTGGAAGGACGCAGTGCCATCTGGTGTGTGCCTGGGACCGCAGGAGGACGCGGACGCGGAGCACGACCACTAGTGCGAGCAGCACGAACAGGCGACGCAGGACGAGACGCAGGCTCACGACGCTCAGCAAGACCTCCAGTAGGACCAGTGTAGGGAGAAGGAGCAGGTAAGGGAGAGGCGGGCTGTAACTGTGACCACGACTGGACAGGCTGTGGACACTCTAAGGGAGGAGCAGGACCAGTAGAGGGCGGGAGACCAAGAACCTGCTCAAGGAGCGGAACGAAGTACGACCTTGGCCGCGCAGCGCCTCCAGAACCAGCAGGGACAGCACCAGTACCCCCAGCGGTAGCACCAGCGCCAGCAGCACCTCCAGCTCCAACAATGCCAACTCTAGCACCCTCAGAAGCACCAGCGCCAGCAGAACCACCAGCGCCAACACCCCCAGCAGCTCCAGCTCTAGCAGCTCCAACAACTCGAGCAGCACCAACTCCAGCAGGACCGTCTGCTCCAGTACCGCCAGTAGCCCCAGAAGTACCTCCAGCAGGACTAACTCCAACAGCAGCCCCAGCAGCTCCCCCATTCCCAGCAGCTCCAGTACCGCCAGTACGAGCACCTCCAGGAACAGCAGCAACAGTAGTACCTCCAGCTCCAGCAGCACGGCTCCAGCGCCGGGCAAACCACTCGCGCAGCTCCTGCGGAGAGAGTAGCTCCCGCCTCGACGAAGCAACGCCAGAGGCCACACGAGCAGACCCAGCACCTCCACGCTCCGCACCCCCATGCTCTGAACCCCCAGGCTCAGCACCCCCAGGCTCTGCACCCCCAGGCTCAGCACCCCCAGACTCAGCACCCCCTGACTCAGCACCCCCAGGCTCAGTACCCCTAGACTCAGCACCCCCAGGCTCCGCACCCCCTGGCTCAGCACCCCCAGACGCGGCACCCGCAGGCTTAGCGCCCCTAGCAGCACTAGAGTCAACAGCTACCTCGACAGACTCGACTGCGTCTACCTGGGACACACCTGACGGGGCAGGACCCTGAGGGGGGAGAGGGTCTACAGGGGGAGGACCTGGCGCAAGGAAGAGCGGCGGCGGGGGGAGGGCCGCAGTGCGGTAGGGGAAGAGACGGTAGTAAGGCACCGACTCGTCAAAGGTGACGTCCTTGACGAGAAACGAGAATGAATGCATTGAGTAGAAAGGGGAGTACAAGTAGCAAACCCTAAAGTGTTGTACCCCATATGAACTGCCCCACTACAGCCTACACAGACTATAGCATATATGCCTGACACACCCCCATAGGCAGAGTGGGGGAGAACAAGGGGTCACAAGACCAGTCAAGCAAAGCAAAGCAAGCTCAGGGTGGATCACAACATCACCACACAGTCCGAGCACAAGAGCAAGGCCACAAGGCCAGTTCACATGCAACATCATATATATAAAGGTAAACAAGCAAGTGCAGGTATAGAAAGAGGACAGTACAAGTGAGGCCAAGTAGGCACAAGACCTAGCACAGTACAGAAGCGCTGATGATCACAAGGCGGAAGGGCCTTGGTGAAAATATCAGCAGTGTTGGTCTCAGAGGCCACGTAGGTGAGGCGGAGCTGACCACGCTGCTGCAGCTCACGAGCCAGGAAGTAGCGGAGAGCAATGTGCTTCGTTCTGTGCTCCAGTCTGTGCTCCCGACACAAGGCCAGCATGGCCTTGTTGTCTACGTACAGAATTGGAGGAGAACGAGGCGCCTCTCCTAGGTCAGTCAGCAGGTAGGTGAGCCAGCGTAGCTCCTGTGCAGCCATGGCCCCCGCGTAGATCTCAGCCTCACATCTGGAGCTGAGAACAGAAGACGAGCGGGTAGACCGCCACGAAACAGAGCCGGAGCCAAGGCTGAAGGTGTAACCCTGTGACGACCGCTGCAGAGCCTGGTCGTCAGCCCAAGAAGCGTCTGCGTGACCTGTGAGGACCACTCGACGCCGCCCTCCAAGCACTACCCCCATGCCCAACGTACTACACACGTAGCGCAACACCCTCTTCGCTGCAGCCATGTGCTCTGGTCGGTGTCTCCCAGGAGCAACATAGCGTGCCAAGATGCTAAGAGGGTATGCAAGGTCAGGTCGTGTGCAGGTCATCAGGTACATGAGGCAGCCAAGAAGCTCTGGGTACGGGCCACTCGACTCTACGGACTCATCCGAAGGCAGAGCTGAGAGCGAGTGGCGAGTAGACAGAGGAGTGGCCTGAGGCGAGGAGTACGTGAAGCCGAAGCGCTGAAGGACCTGCTGCACCATGTGTGACTGAGTCAGGGTAATGGTGCGCTGTGCTCTGTCTCGGGTGATCTGCAAGCCAAGGTAGCTGCGCAGTTCACCCAGGTCTGTGCACGTGTGTCTCTTCTGCAGCTCGGACTTCACGTGGGCGCGTCCAGCAGTATCAGCAGTGGCAAAGACCAAGTCGTCGACGTACACGAGGATGTAGAACGGCGGCAAAGAGGTGTCGGTGCGCAGAAACCGCGACGGGTCGGCTGTAGAAGGAGCAAACCCAAGAGCCGCAAGTGTAGTCCTCAGTGTGTCGTGCCACTCACGGGGCGCCTGGCGGAGACCGTAGACTGGCCGCCGGAGGCTCCACTGGGTGCCAGGAGGAAACGACCCAGTGAACCAGGTGGGCGGCGCATCCAAATCTCCTCGTGCAGGCTGCCCTGCAGGAAGTAGAACGAGAATGAATGACTATGGAATGAAAAGTGATACAAATATGCAACCCTAGAAATGTGTACCCCATATGGGCTACCCCACAAAAGCCTAGACAACATTATAATTTGACACGACTCGGGGCGCGCGCCAGAGAGAAAATCGCGCGGCGAGATGAAAAATAGGTCGCACGCCACGGGGCGTGCGACAGATCGAGTAGCAGCGGAAGCAGTAGTAGGGCCCACAGGCCAGGAGCATATGTGCTCTGAAACCATGTGAGAATGAACGAGAATGAATGCACTATGAAAGAGTTGGGTACAAGTACTAACCCTAATTGGGTTGTACCCCATATAGGCTACCCCACTACAGCCTACACAAAAGCATAAGCATAAGCCTACAGCCTACACAAAAGCATATGTTCTGACATACCCCACTGCAGGCTAGACAATTATAACATTCTGACACGCAGGGTCTCGGGCGCGCTTCGAGCCGATCGCGGCTTCTATTTCGGCGCGTCAGAGATTGCGCACTTGGCGGCAGCTTGAATCGGTTCAAGACTATACGAGTGGTTTTCTCGCATTATGCGAGCAAGTCGGCTATATGCACGAAGCGGAACGGGTGGACCGTTACGTCGGAGGGCTGAAGCCGGACATCTCTTACGAAATCATGCTACGCGGGCTCTCAAACTTCAACGAGATTCTCGCGCTCGCCGAGAAAATCGACATTTTACGCCGTCCGAGACCGGGGTCCTACTATGGACATCGTCTTTGGGGACCGATCGAGCACGCCACTGTACACGCTGTTGCGACGAATGCAGCTGCCGCGCCGTTTAAGGGGCGCTGCTTCGCTTGCAACAGGCCGGGCCATCGCAAGAGCGAATGCCCAAAGGAGCTAAGGTGCCGCGGAGCAGAGCAGGGGAGGGAGTCTCCAAAGCAGGGAAACGCCAGCAGTCAGTAGGAATCGGGCCAACTTCTGACGAGACTGCCTGCTCGCCCAACCCCACCGACCCTCACCGAGTCACAGTACCGATTCATGCTATTGATCGGACTCGGACGAATAAGGAGGGTACATCGACGGATTGCCCAGTACTGATCCACGGGAAAATACTGGGAGCTGCAGTGAAGATTTTTATCGACGGAGGAGCAAGCCACAGTTTAGTTAATACCGCAACCGCACAAAAACTACAACTAACACTTAGCCGTTGTTTACCGGAGATAGATGCACGCTTACTCGACAACACGCCACTGGCCATACGGGAAAAGGTAGAAAGAGTCAAAGTCCGCTGCGGGGGAACTTTCGGGTTCACACAGGATATGCTCGCAACGACACTGGATGGGCACGATATTTTACCAGGATGTGATTGGCTGCGACGGTATAACCCGCGAATTGACTGGACGACGGGTAGCTGCACCGTGCGAAGTAGTGGTAACTGGGTCGAGCTACCTCGCTGGCAGTCGCCCGAGTCATCAACAGTACACGTCAACGCCATCACAATGAAACGGGCTGTCGCTGCTGGAGCTGACGTGTACGCAGTAGACATCGCAGTAGTAGAGGAAGCAGAGCAGCTGAGTGATTTCAAGAAACTGCTGGCAGCTGTACCGCCCGAATCACAGGAACTGTTGAAACGATACTCCGGGATTTTCCCTGACGACTTACCGAAATGACTGCCACCTCAACGAGCACATGACCACCGAATCGAATTAGAACCGGGGGCACAGCCAACCGTACAGCGCCAGTTCAGAATGACACAGCCCAAGCTCGACGAACTAAGGAAGCAGTTAGATTACCTGTTAGAGAAAAAATTCATCAGACCGAGCTCGTCACCATTCGCCGCACCGATACTATTCACGCCGAAGAAAGACGGGGGTTTTCACACGTGTATCGACTACAGAGCACTGAACAGGGTAATAGTCAAGTCGCGGTACCCCATTCCCCGCGCCAACGAACTGATCGACCAACTGCGAACAGCACGGGTTTTTTCGAAAATAGATTTACGGGAAGGTTACCATCAAATTAGGGTCGAACCATCGGACTGCCCCAAAACAGCTTTCAGAACTAGGTACGGGTCGTTCGAGTACACTGTGATGCCATTCGGGCTGACCAACGCACCGGCGACTTTTCAGATGACCATGAACGAGGCATTCAGGCCGCTCTTAGATAAATGCGTGATCGTGTACCTCGACGACATCCTAGTTTACAGTCGGGATAAGCAGCAGCACTTAGCAGATCTGGAAGCAGTGTTTAAGGTTTTAGACGAGCACATACTACTGACCAAGGGTTTCAAGTGCGAGTTCTTCCAGGATAGGTTAGAATTTTTGGGGCACGTTATTTCGGAGGCTGGAGTTGAAATCGACCCAAAGAAGCTGGATATGGTAAAAGCGTGGCATCCCCCGACGAACATCACGGAGCTACAGAGCTTTTTAGGGTTCGTTAATTATGTGCGTCGGTTCGTCTCCGATATGGCACGGTTAACTGCCCCACTGACGGACTTACTGCGGAAGGGGGTCGTTTTTACGTGGGGGGAGAAAGAGCATGCTGCCTTCTCTGCCCTGAAAAATGTTCTCTGTTCCCCGCCCGTCCTGCGCATCGCCGACCCACACCGCCCATTCGAAGTAGTTACCGACACAAGCGATATCACCATCGGAGCCATACTGCTACAGGATTTTGGCAATGGCCTACAGCCTATCGCATACGAGTCACGAAAACTGCATTCGCCCGAGAAAAATTACCCGATACACGACCGCGAAATGCTTGCGATCGTGCACGCGTTCAAAGTATGGCGCTGTTACCTGACTGGCGCGGACGTGACAGTACGGACAGACCATAAATCACTACAGTACCTTCGCGCACAGCCACACCTCAACCCACGACAGATTCGCTGGCTCAATTTCCTTGAGTCCAACTTTCACTACACGGTCACTTACAAAAAGGGAGCCTCGAACATCGCCGACGCACTGGCCCGCCCCACTGCCCAGATCCACACAATACTACTCGCCCAGACAAGCCCGCTACTGACAGGCCTATTCACCCGCGGGTACCAAACGGATCCATTCTTCACAGGAGGAAATTCGCAGCAGTTCGCAGTAGCAAAGGGAGTCTATTACGTAAAAACCGGGACTGAGCGCATTTGGGTGCCTGGGTATACACTGCTACGGGAAAAACTGTTACAGGAGGCACACGACGGGGTTACCTTGTCAAAATCATATGCTATAGTCTGTGTGGGCTGTAGTGGGGTAGTCAATATGGGGTACAACACTTTTAGGTTTTCCTACTTGTACCGACCTGCTTGCTAGTTCATTCATTCCTTGTTCTTTCACATGGTATAGAGCAGGTTCCCTAGTGGGAACTTCCTAGGGCCCACCACTGAAAATCGACTTTTTTTCTGACCGAAGCGCGAGTCGCCCCTGCTCGAGGCGCGCCCCGTGGGCCGCCCTCTTGTCAAGCCCTCCTAGAGGCCCCTCTCACTGCCCCTCGCGCCACCCTTAGCGGCCCCGTCGCCACCCCTAGCGGCCCCGT